TGGCCCTTTTACGCAGCAAGTACGCAAATTCGCCAAACGCCATGATGCGCGCCCCACAAGGAACAAGGAACCCCTGTCACTGCACCAAGTCCATACCATGGCTCGCCCCTACCTCGACTCGACCTATCCAGCCGCATATCAGAAAGGTCCGATTCCCCTGCTCATGTTCGCAACATTCTTGCGCTACTCCGACCTCATCAGCATCCAGTTGAATGACATCCAATTCGATCACGTGCAATGTGGCTGCTGATTCCACACTCCATGACAAACCAAGAAAGCTAGGGCACATGGGTTCCCGTCGCCGCCGCAACTGGGCCCTTCTGTCCCGTGGGCTGCACTCGACATTTTATTCATCTCGCGGGGCAGAGAGCTACTCAACACGGACCTCTGATCCGCGTCTTTGGGAACAACAGCAAGGCCACCACGCGAGATGCCGCACCTACATACACCCTAATCCGGAACTGGAGCATTGAAGCCTTTATCGCGGCAGGCCTCGACCCCGCCCATCGCGGCACTCACTCATTCCGCTAGGGTGCAGCGACAGCAGCAGCCAGCTTGGGGATTCTCGGCAGACTCTTCAAATGGCTCGGCCGCTAGCGCAGCAACACTGCCAAGGAGCTCTATGTCACCATCGCACAAGACCACCTTTTTGCAGCCTCAACGCAACTCCAAGATGCAACTATCGCCCCGTCGCCCAACGACCACCAGCTGTCCATTGAGCGTCACCGCCGTCCCACCCTCCACATGCCTCAGAGAACCCATATGAAATGAAGCACAATGCCTTTCAAGAAGACCTAAGCAAGCTTTCAAAATATTTATTTTGTTTTAAGCATGCAACACTTTCTAAAAATATGTATTGTGAAAGTGTAGCGAGGGCCAACGCAGCAAAGGCAGCGGCTAAGCGCTCCCCAACCACTTTTGATTACAAAAGTGGGACATGAGGCCATCTAGCCTCACCCATGTTCTTCATTTCTAGTTCGCTCATTTGAGTTTCCCCACCCACTCGCGCTACTTGTGTGCGTAGATTCTTATTGGACGAAAATGTGTATGATTACCCATATGAAATAAAGCACACTATCTCAGAGTAACAAATTGACTAGAAGGAGAGATACATGGTGGTTTTTTGCTAAGGGGTTGTACTCTCTACGAGTATGCACCTATCTAGCCTATAGTGACATATACATATATGTTTGACACACCCCCTAGGCTAGATGAGGGGCAGTGCCGGGCAAGAGACACGCAGCTCAGGGTGGCACTACTAGTCCAACGTCTGAGGCAAGGGTCCGAAGACCGGTCAGCAAGAGTACAAACCAAACAAGTGTAACCCAGAGTGACACTACTAGTCCAGCCATTGGAGCAAGGGCCACAAGGCCAGTCAAGATAATATAAGAGGAAGTATACATCACGGTCCTAGCAAGTGAGAAGCTACATGAACTAGACCAAGCTGTACACAGAATCGTTGACGATCTTTAGGCTTAAGCGCCTTCGTAAAGATATCAGCTGTGTTGGCACCGGAGGCCAAGTGTACTATGCGGGCCTGGCGGCGCTGCTTTAGCTCGAGCAGGAGGAAGTACCGCAGCTGGATGTGCTTCGCTCTGCCCTCAGTCGAGGCTCCTAATATAGGAAGATCGTGGCCCTGTTGTCAGCGTACAGGACCGGGGAAGAGCTAGGCTGCTCACCTAAGTCTATGAGCAAGAAAGTCAGCTAGCGCAGCTCCTATGCCGCCATGGCACCAACGTAGCTCTCACCCTCACAGCTAGACTGGACAACAGACGACGAGCAAGTGGACCTCCACGAGATGGCACCTGCACCAAGGCTAAAGTAGTAGCCCTGGGAGGACCTGAGCGTCTGAGCGACGTTTGCCCAAGAAGCGCATGTGTGTCCTGTAAGGACCACTAGCCTGCATCATCCTAGCACTAGCCCCATGCCCGATGTACGTGCTAGATAACGCAAAACCCTCTTAGCGGCCGACCAGTGCTGCGGTGGGTGTCTGCCTGTCGCCACAAAGCGAGCCAGGATGCTGAGAGGGTATGCGAAATCTGGACAAGTGCAAGTCATCATGTACATGAGGAACTAGGCTCTACAGACTCCTTACGGACTGGAGCTGAGAGCATGAGATCTACTGGCAGAGATGTGGTGTCACAGGATCGAATGACTCGAGGAAAGGTTGCACTATCGATCAGTACAAGGCGCTTTTATACTTGCAGAGTACATCAGGTAACCAGGTTTATCCTATCCTAAGGGAATAGACCCTTCTAGAAGACAGAATCACCCTGCGTATAGCCACGCGAGGCTATTGGCTTTAAGGGATTATGGCAGGCTTACGCCAGATAGCGCACCAGTACATCCCAAGCCTGGTCGGTGATATAATTATAATAGCAGGATAAACCAAAGGTTAACGGAAAAATGGAGAATAGGAAACCAAATGAGATGAGATAAAAAAAGAAATGAAAGAGAAAGGAAATAAGAAAAGGGACAAGTGGTGTAACGGGGTCGTACT